CTATCACCCCCCCCCCCCCGTTTTTGTGCTGCCTACCTCTTTCACAGGCAGGTTGGTCTCCACTTCATATTGCTGCGTCTGCTGGCCGGGATGAGATTGTAAAAGCCCTTCTGGGTAAAGGTGCCCAGGTGAATGCAGTCAACCAAAATGGCTGTACTCCCCTACATTATGCAGCTTCCAAAAACAGACATGAGGTAGGGTTCCATTCCTTGGCTGCCGTTTTTGAGTTCTGAAGCTGTCTATGGCCACAAACCGATGCCTGCGTTGTTTTCTCCTCCATTGGTCCAGATTGCTGTCATGTTACTGGAAGGCGGGGCTAATCCAGATGCGAAGGACCATTATGAGGCTACAGCAATGCACCGGGCGGCAGCCAAGGGTAACTTGAAGATGATTCATATCCTTCTGTACTACAAAGCATCCACAAATATCCAAGACACTGAGGGTAACACTCCTCTGTAAGTGACAAGTAGCAGTCATTTGTATTCTCCTTGACATTAGCCTTCTTGCACTAATAACACATCGTTTTCTTTTTTTATTCTGCTTGGAAATGTAATACATGTGTATGACCAAAAAAAAAGTTGAAAGTACACAGATGTGTGAAGATGAAAATTAAAATTCCCTATTTCATTTTTTATATATTTCCTCCCCTTCTTTTGTACACAAATGTGCATATTTAAAAAAATTTGTTTGCAAAATTGGGATAATGCTATGTACGTAATTATATCTTGTTTTTTTAACCTAGTATATCATGAGCATTTCCAATGTTGCTATTTTTAAAATGTTTTTGAATGGCCATATGCAGTTCCATTTTATGGATGTGCCAAAATTTAATCACTCCTCTTCCTGCACATTTAAGCTTTTTTGGGTTTTCCATGAGTATAAATAATGCCACGTTGACCAAGTTCATACAAAAATCTCTGGCCCTCTTGCTTATAATTATCTTAGTATAGACTCTTAGAAGTAGGATTGCTGAGTCAACAAATACACACATTTTAAGAGTATTGCTAGGTATTACCAGGTTGCTTCCAGAGGAATTGTATCATTATACCCTTCCAGCAACAGTTTGAGGGTGCCTATTGCCCCCTCACCAACACTAGAACTATTCTTTTGTTCTATCAGACATGTTGCCTCGTAGTTATCACTTATATTTTTTCATTTTCAGGGAGGTTAAACGTTTTTTAATGCCTTCAACTAATTAGATTTCTTCTCTAACTTGTACCTTTTTGGGTTCCTTTCTCTGTTTGCTTTTGGGGGATTAAATTATTTTTAGTGATTTTTTTAAGCTCCCTTGATTGACATACTAAAAATGTTAACCTGCTGTGTTACTTGAAACTGTTTTTTTCCCAGTTTGTCCATGTTCATTATTGTTTTAAAGAACAGAAGTTTTTCAACTTCTAAGCAGTCAAACCTAGTCATCTTCCCTCAGGAATAGAAAGTCCTTTCTCACCCTGAAGTTAGTTAAATACTTACCTATATTTTATTATAGGCTTTTTTTTTTTTAACATTGCATTAGTTTTGGTTGACAGTTACTGTTACTGTCAAATCCATCTGGAATTGATTTACATGTGTGACCTGAGGCCGTCCTCTGCCTTGGTATTTTTTTCTGCATTACTTGGCTACTTTCCTTCCTTATTGGGTGGTGACTTTTTTGAACCAGAAATTCTATGAATCTCCTTTTTAGTCTAAAGTGAGATTCAGTTCTTTTAAGTACCGTTTTCTTAACTCTTAGTTTTTTTTAAAGTTTTTAAAATGTTTATTTTTGAGAGAGCAGGGGAGGGGCAGGGTGGGGGGGGGAACACAGAAGATCTGAAGCAGGCTCCTTGCTGACAGCACACAGCCCGATGCTGGGCTGGAACTCATGAACGGTGAAATTATGGCCTGAGCCAAAATCAGACGTTTAACCGACTGAGCCACCTAGGCACCACTTCACTCTCAGTTTTAAAAGTCTTTTCTCAGGGCACCTGGGTGGCTCAGTCAGTTAAGTTTCCGATTCTTGCTTTCAATTCAGGTCATGATCTCACGATTCATGGGTTCGAGCCCCACATGGGGCTCTGTGCTGATGGTGCAGAGCCTGCTTGGGATTCGGTCTTCCTCTCTATCTCTCTCTCTCAAAATAAATAAATAACATTTAAAAAATAAATACATAAATAAAAATCTTTTCTTTAGTCCTGAGTGACTCTGTTTAGAAAGACTTGCAATTTCTAGCTCTTTTCTCCATAACAAGAAGGAACCCGAAGAGTCAGGCAGGAAAGGGTCCTGGGAAGAGGCTAGGATTGAGGGATAGCTGGAGACTGTTTACTCAATTCAAGCTTAGCCACTTAACCAACTATATCAAATACTTACATTAGGTAACTTGGAGAAGTAAATTAACCTTCCTGAGTCTTACTTTCCTCATCTGTAATATGAGAAGAATAATTCCTTCCCCACTACATTGTTTTGAGGCTTAAATAAAATAACATGAGATGTGCCTAACACCCTGCCTGATAAACTGTAAGTGCCTGCCAAAGTTTTCCCCTCAGTTACTGCTCAGCTGTGTCATCACAGGCAAGGACTCTAACTTCTGTCACAGTTTCAACTGTAAAATGGTGATAATAGTACTGTGCTGACTTACAAGGTGGATATAAGGATCAAATGAGGTAAAATCTTTTAAATGGTTCTTTGAAAAATTTAAACCACACAACTTGCTGTTAGCCTGTTATACAGATTGGGGCTTTTCTAAACTCTAGCCCTGAATTATTGTGTGCATTCGGTGTAAACCACCCTAATCTCAGGGGCGCCTGTGTGGCTCAGTCAGTTAAGCGTCCGACTTCGGCTCAGGTCATGATCTCGTGAGTCTGTGGGTTCGAGCCCCACATGGGGCTCTGTGCTGACAGCTTGGAGCCTGCTTCAGATTCTGTGTCTCCCTCTGTCTCGGTACCTCCCCCGCTTGTGCTCACTCTCTGTCTCTGAAAGATGAATAAAACTTAAAAAACATTAAAAAACTAAATAAAAAGTTAAAAATTAGAAAATTAAAAAACACCCTAATCTCCATAAAACATGGAAGTTGCTCTTAGGCTGGCATTTCGATCCCTTCTTGTTCTGTAATGTGTCCAGAATTATGATTTATGATCGGGTATTACAAGGCCGTTCCACTGAATTTTAATTTACGAGCGGTCCTTCCCAGGCAAATTGATTTTCCTTTCCTGATTAAATACCCTGGTACTATACTCCCTAATAATGTGCAGTTCAGACCATGTATCAGGAAATCCTCATCGTTACATGGAGTTGGTAGGGAGTAATCAGTCTTTGTGGTCTTCAATTCCAGACACTTAGCCTGCGACGAAGAGAGAGTGGAAGAAGCAAAACTGCTGGTGTCCCAAGGAGCAAGTATTTACATTGAGAATAAAGAAGAAAAGACACCACTGCAAGTGGCCAAAGGTGGCCTGGGTTTAATACTCAAGAGGATGGTGGAAAGTTAAGCAGCTCAGATTCATTCTTCCTGTGTGCGTCTTGTGCTTGTCCCCAGTGCCCTGGAAGCTAATGTACTCGTGCCCAAGGCACCATCTGAAGATGATGGAGGTTTTTCTCTCATCTTCAGTGTCCTATAAATCTGTCAAGTATCGTTCCTGCTGAGGTGTTTGGTCCAAGCTTGCAACTTGCTTTCCAGGCATAGATTAATTGTTGAGATTGTTTTACTCTTGTTGTGTATGATTCTGTACTGAATCTTGGTTAATTTTGAGTAAGCGATTCTGTGGCTGTTGTGAGTCTTTGGCACCCTCCCGCATACCCTCGAGTCCCCTGTGAGGCCGAACAACCCCAGTAGCACCAGGCCATTTGTCCCACCACGAGTTCCTAGGGAGGTTTTCGAATGTTCCCCCTGTCTGGTCAAAACACATCCTGACTTGTCTCTCAAGCTCACTCAGAAGCCTATACCAAATATTTGGTTTTCTCAACAGTACACTGCAACTTTATTTTTGTTACAGGAGAAATACATATATATTTTAAAGGACCAATTTTCCATTGGAAGGCATGCTACCCAAGTTCGGAATTCATAAACTCTAAAATATAATGAAAAATAACAGCCTGTGTACCCATGCATCTTTTTTTTTTTTTAATTTTTTTTTTTCAACGTTTATTTTATTTTTGGGACAGAGAGAGACAGAGCATGAATGGGGGAGGGGCAGAGAGAGAGGGAGACACAGAATCGGAAACAGGCTCCAGGCTCTGAGCCATCAGCCCAGAGCCTGACGTGGGGCTCGAACTCACAGACCGCGAGATCGTGACCTGGCTGAAGTCGGACGCTTAACCGACTGCGCCACCCAGGCGCCCCCCCATGCATCTTTTTAATAAGCCCTTTTCTTCCAAAATAAAATGTGTTGTTTTTAAAAAGGGAGTTTCAAAGTACCTATATTAAGTCACCGTCCTGTACTGCAAAGAAATGTCAAGCTTGTTACATGTAACAAAAATGAGTTCTGATTTGTATTTCAAAAACCAAAAATAAAATGTTAGAATCTTCCAGTTTTTCTTTCAAATCTGTTAGAAACTCATGCAAGCCTTAAAATCCTTCATAAAGACATTTCTCGCTTTTGCCGACTCCAAAGTCCATAAAATTCGTGAAGCTTGAACTGCCACTAAAAATCTTTAAAAATACTCATCTTCTGAATTGCTAATTAAATGTGGAGCAAAAGAAAGTAAGTGGAACCTTGAGTTCAATTTAGGGAAACAACTCAAATGGTTACCAGTCGTAAACTCTAATGGACTCCCAAGTGGCTCTTCAAATTATTTTTTTAATTTAAATCTTATGCTGCAAATATTGCTTAAAGTAAGTGATCCAGGTGAGCCCACAAACTTGGATTAATTTGGGGTCAGAGACTTAACAACCCAGTAGCTAAAATGAGTTTTGTAAGCGTGAACCATGTCGTTGATAAGCAAAACTTTTACATAAATATTGTGAGCACTGATCTTTACAAATATTAATCAGGGAGGCATCTTCTTAAGGAATTAAACTTCTGTTTATTGAATGCCAGGGTTAAAAATGATGACAGGGGAAATCATTTCTTTCCAATCCTTTTTAGCGTGATCAGAGAGTTAAGCTGTGTCTAATTGGGCCTGTCAGTCTGAAGGCGTTTACTTTTCGTAAACGCTGACTTTATTAGTCTGAGGTAATAGGCTTTGTGGGTGTGAAAGAAAACTGATCTTTGATCTTCTTTAATAAGAAACAGATGGAACCAAGCCTCAGTTAAGTTGTGGGCTATTGGCATTTTCAGTGAAGTGGTTTGTTAACAATAAATCACAGATTTGTATAAACTAAGGATGTTAGGGGCACTGGATATTGATCAGATTGTTATCTGTTCATAAAGGAAACCCAATAGAGATGAAGCTGATTTAATGTCAGCAGGTTTTATAGTCACTTCCAAATGAACTGAAGAAAAAGAATTTTAATTGCAAAGCTTAACTGGAAAGAAGTTGAAAGATGTGAGTAAACAGAACAATGGAAAAAATTCTAAGTACCTTGGACGGAACCCGCAATTTGAGTTTTATGATCTTCAGGGTAAATCAGCATTTTACTTCATAATTTTAGACACAGCAATGTAACTGTATGACCCCCATGTTTTGATTTCCCAGTTTCTTAACTATACCGACTACAATAAATTCATTACATGGCTGTGCCTGCTGCTTTCTGTTTCTGTGTCCTATTAACACTATATAGCCGCCAGGTCAATCTGTGAGCAAATCTGATACAGAGTGGGGGCTCCTTGTTTTGGGTTCTATGGCTCCAGGCTCACAGTTCTACTGCAGAAATTTGTATGTGCATTTTTCTGCGAAAAGGGCTCTGTAGCTTTCATCAGATCCTCGAAGGGATCTGTGACTCGCCAAAAGGTTAAGAGTACCCAGTCAAGAGAAAAAAAAGAATACTGAGTCAGTTTTCAGGGGATGTGGTTTCTACAACAGTATAGTTCTCCCACATTATATAGTTTATAAATATTTATAATCCCTTCTCCACTGCAGCCTTTAAGAAAGCAAAAATCATCTCCACTGTATAGTTGAGAAGATACCCAGAGCTAGAGGAATCTAGCTTTCCTCGATCCTGGTCCATTTTCTTTTGACCTCTATTCAAAAAATGGACCAAATGGAAAGTACTATGACATTTTGATAATAACCTGTTAGTTGTAACACCTCCCCCCTGCTCCCCCGCCCCCGTGCTTTGCTTTTAGTTATGTTGGTGGTTTGTTTTTGGTTTCCTGGAACCCTAACATTAACATCTCTAATTCTTTGTTTTGCCTTGTTTTGAAACCAAAGCTCCAAAGACAAGATTATTGACTACTGATTGATTTAAACCTTTCATAAGACCCTCTAACTTGTTTTCCCGCACATAGACATTGTGAAATGATCTTTTCATTACTAAAACTTACGGTTTGGGGACGCCTGGGTGGCTCAGTCATTTAGGCGTCTGACTTCCGCTCAGGTCATGATCTCACGAACCGTGAGAAGTCGGAGGCTTAACCGACTGAACCACCCAGGCGTCCCAGAATGATCCAGCTTTTTAAAACTACATTTACCCCTTCCTGCCTCCCCAAGAAGGTAATTCTGTATTATCTCCCACCTCTACCCCATAATAGGCCATCACAATAACACACATGGTGTGTGTTATTACCCTCAGAGGTGCTGCAGTTGAAAAAGGTCAAGTGCTATTACCTCAAAGCTCCCTTCTAGCTCTTCCACCTTTCCTTACTGAAAGTTCATCAAACTTGAGTTACACAGCGGCCAGTGTAAGAGCTGCAAATATTGGGGCGCCTTGGTGGCTCGTTAGGTTAAACGTGTGACTTCAGCTCAGGTCATGATCTCGTGGTTCATGAATTGGAGCCCAGGGTCGGGCTCTGTGCTGATGTCGCAGAGCCTGGAGCCTGCTTCAGATTCTGTGTCTCCCTCTCTCTCTGCCCCTCCCCTGCTTGCTCTCTCTCAAAATAAATAAACATTTAGGGGCGCCTGGGTGGCGTAGTCGGTTAAGCATCCGACTTCAGCCAGGTCACGATCTCGCGGTCCGTGAGTTCGAGCCCCGCGTCGGGCTCTGGGCTGATGGCTCAGAGCCTGGAGCCTGTTTCCGATTCTGTGTCTCCCTCTCTCTCTGCCCCTCCCCCGTTCATGCTCTGTCTCTCTCTGTCCCAAAAATAAATAAATGTTAAAAAAAAAAAATTAAAAAAAAAATAATAAAAAAAAATAAACATTTAAAAAAATTTTTTAAAGAGCTGCAAATATTAACTTCTCAGCATACAATATTGGGGGTAAATTTCACCTGGTACTCTGAAGGACATTGAAGATATCCATATACATGATTTCTTAGCCATTTGGGCAAGAATTACTATGTTTTAGTCCCTTTTTCATAGACCACTGTGATTTGGAGGCCCTCCCCAGTGCAGCACCAAAGCCCAGGCTTCCTCGCCTGCAGTCAGCACACTACTGTTGATCACATGCACGATTTGTCATAGTTAGCCAAGCTGTAACTCCTCAGGGACAAGAGCTTGCTCTGCTTCTGCTCACCGTTATATCACCTGTCACCGTATCTGGTTCATAGTAGCCATTCAATAAATATCCAGTAGATGACTGAATAAACATGAATTCAAGGAGAATAAGGGCCTATAACCAAAAAGCTTTTCTGGTGACTTGAGCGTATCCTAGTTGCTAAATACAGAAACAGAGAAGTCCCTGGAAGTCTTTTTGGGTAGTGCAAAGCTAATGATTATGAAACCCAAGGCTGTTTTGGGATTTGATTGGAACCACCCACTTAAATTTTAACGACCTACAGCAAAATAAATCTGGTAGTACCCTCTCTGAGAATTAGGCTGACATGTAATCAGAATGTTTGGGTAATGATCTAGTCCATTACTTATTTTCTGATTCACTTTTGTTCTGTTCCCTTATTGGAAAGCTCTTCAACATGAGCCCATTTTCCTGCCCAAGTAAAATTTAGTGAAAATTTTGTTGTGATTTAATATTTTATAGGGTCTCAGGACTGATCACAAACAAATACATGGTGTGTTATGGAAATGCTAATAGGAGATTAAGGACACTGAAATGAAAGTTGCACTTATCCAGAGTGGCCTTGTGCATAGGTAGTGTAGATGGTTAACCCATATGGTTTAATGTGAGAAGAGCTGAGAAGGGTCCTTTTCCCGGAAATCTCTCCCCTCTGGATTGTTCCAGTGCGTGAAATTCCACCATTTAGACTCTTTTCCCACCATTTAGACTCTTTTTTTAAGCTTATTTATTTATTTTGAGAGACACAGAGACAGAGCAGTGGGGAGGGGCAGAGAGAGAGGGGGAGAGAGAGAATCCCAAGCAGGCTCCACGCTACCAGTGCAGAGCCTGATGTGGGGCTCAAACCCATGAAACCACGAGATCATGACCTGAGCTGAAACCAAGAATCCAACACTCAACCAACTGAGCCACCCAAGAGCCCCCACCATTTAGACTCTGGATTAAGTAATTATCTGTATTCAAGAATCTCCTTCTAAAAGGTAAATACTCAAAAGAGAGCTAACTCATTATCAATCCAAGTGACATCACTGGGTGATAAAAGATCATGTTCACTAGACAAGAACAGGTCACAGAACAAACAGCTGCTTTTTTTTTAAAATGGTGTCAAGGGTAGAGGTAGGTCCTGAGCAATGAATTCTGCCTGAGCGATGCAAAACTGAGTGGGTCACTGAGCTAGTAGTTGCATGAGAGTCCTGGGTGTTTGGAAAATAA